ATAAAGTGTAAATTTTTTTTTTAGTTTCAGAAATATATAAAATTTTAAAAAATCTTAAAAAATTTTTAATAATGAAAATTTTTAAATATAATCTTTAAATTTTTAATTTACAAAAATTTATTAATATTTTGAAAAAGTTTTATAATAAAGTTTATAAAATATGGTTTTAAAAATATATTTCATAAGTAAAGTATACTCTATATTAAATATAAAGATAGTAATCCTAATATAGTGTTAGGTTGTTATCCTCCAAGTAGCAGATCTAAGGTTCAAATCCTATTTATAACAAAATTTAGAAATTATATCTGCATAACAGTAACTGTCTTCTGTCAATTAGTTGGCCTCATGTGACTGTAACTCAGGTATACCAAATCAGGTCCTACTGATATAAGGAGCTTGGGTATCTATGCGAAATATAACATTACATATATAGAAAAATGTATAACCAGTGTTGTATAAGACTTCAGTACAAACCTATGATAAAACCATCAGGTATAGAAGACTAAAAAACTGAGATGATGGAAACCTACTTAGAAATTCCCAAGTAAAGAGGTAGCATGAACTTTTGATAATATCATTAGACTGGTTAAAGCTCATAAAACACCTTCATAGGAACTGAAGATTAAAACCAAATGTTAAATATGTGTAGAGAAGCATATAACCAACCAGACCACTGGATTTGTTGAAGAAAAAGAATACAGAAGTATACTATACTGGATTATCTAAATTGGTAGTCTGGAATAAGACTGATAGTTCTGAGTTGCAGCTAGTAAGAGATGATAGAGAAGATGCTGAGAAGATAGGTACTGAGGTTATAGTGAACTTTACAAGAATAAAAATAGTGTAATATAGCAGTTAAATAGATAACCTCTGTAATTGCAAGTTTTAGATAACTATAGCATATTGCATAAAACTAGGTTTATATATATAGAGCATAAAGGCTCTAGTAAGTTTCCTGTCAAAAATAAATTAATCCTAAGAGTAATAACAAGTATTGAGAACTTAGATGAGTATAGTTTTGAGATGTTCTTGTAATACAAGATGAATTGTATATATAAAGAGTTTAAATAGGCAAGACCTTTAGTTGACTTACAGGTATGACAACTAGTATAGAACTTATATAGCAATGTATAAGTGAACTACTTAAATTAGATACCAAAAGTGCATGTATGGCTAGTTGTAACCTCCAATATAAGGTGAGCCTCTGTTGGCATGCCATGTCCTAATATACTTAAATAAAAATGTTGCATCTTCAAGATAGAGACTTTAACTAAAAAAAAAAATATATATATATATATTAAATACTATTTAATTTTTCAGACAAATTTGTTTAAAATACAGTTTAAGAGATATAATTCATAACATATTAAAAAATTTGTTGTGAATAATATCGATATATAAAAATTATAATTTAATTGATTATTTGTATAATTTATAAATGTGTACATACAAGGTTAATGGTATATATCTTTTGAATTATAGATTAGATGTAATGTAACATAATTAGAAAAATTTAAAACAAATATTTATTCTGTCAAAAATTGATTATAGCTTAAAAATCAGCATAAAAAATTATTTTTTGTACTTTAACAAAAAGTTTTCATTAACCAATTTTACTATTTAGACTATTTTTCTCTAGATTCTAACTTTAATTCTAATTCTAACTTTAATGAATTTTAAGAGTTTAGTTTTTGGCACCAACCTTGTACATATTTACAATATACATTAATAATTATGTAATAAAAAAGATTTAAATCTTGAAATTAGTTTAAATTAAAAATCAATAATTTATATCATTGTGATTTAAACTATGTGTCATCTCTAATACATACCTTGAACTTGATATAATAATGATAAATTTTATAAATTCTAATTAAAACTTATTATTATAGTTTAATTTCTGTTAATTTATTTAATTTATTGTATTTCTTATTAATGTTTTTTTTTTTTACAAATTTGTAATTGTTTTTATTTTTTTTTAATTTAATATTATTAGTAATTTTATATAGGTTTATTCAAAAATTATCAAACTATTTAAACCTTTTAAAACCATAACTTAATGATTATCTGATACTATATATTCAACATTAAATATGGTTCATTCATATATATACATATTAAAACAAGTATTTGCACCAAAGATTCAAGAAGGTGAAACTATTAATATCTATTTAGATCTAATATATGGACCTTTAGTATCAGATGATGAGTTAAAAAATAATGATAATAGTGATTCAAGTTTTACAAGCAATAATAATGATATTTCAATAGCAAAGACTCAATGACATTTACAACAAGCATATCAATAGTTTAGACAAAGGATAAAAAAATCCATGGTAATAGTCATGGTCATGATCATGATCAAGATTGAGATCATAATTATAATTAAGATAAAAAAGAAACTAATTAAATTGAATACTTACAACCAGTTAACACAAAAAATTTTATTTAAAAAGTTCAAACTGCTATATATCTTTCTTTAAACAAATTATAGAAAATGCCTAATGAAAATTCTTTAATTGCAATAATATTGAATTCTAGAATAAAAACTTTTCTATTTATGAATGGACCTAATCGTGTATAGCAAAAAACACAAGCTGAGTTTTTTTTAAAGGATTTATATACTCAACCTAAACAAGAGTTAATCAATAAAACTTTTAAGGTACCATATTCAGCATTGAACTTGATTAATGATGCTGAAGACATATTTTTGAAAATGTGAACTGATAATCATATACAAATGGAAGATGAAGTTACTTGTTATTTATATTATTCTGAAGAATCAAAAAATATTAATCCTTTAGTTTGGTGACAAGAGCATCAAACAAGTTATAACTAACATGTAAATACCTTTCAATTCCTGCTATGTCAATTCCTAGTTAATGACTGTTTTCTGATGCTAGAAATAATATTTCAGCAAAAAGAACTTGATTAGCTCCTGATTTAGTTAATCACATTTTATTTTTAAAGTGGAATACTATATACTTTTCTATGTTTCACTTTTGAAGAACAATGAATAGTTCTTTGTTAAGTATTATCTATTTTTTTTTTCTAATCATTTTTTTTATTAAAGTCCAGTGACAGTCAACGAAGAAAGAAAAACTTTAAACTGACTATAAAAAAGAGTATATTATCAGTTTTTTCTCAAAAAAAAAAGCACCAATTTATATGGTTTGAAATAAAAGTTGACAACAAAAATTTGTAAAAAAAAACACTTATCATTATCTTAATTACAATAAATAAAAATTAACTATAATTAGTTAATTATATGTATTATATCACGAGAAGACGCTAATGCATAAAACATCTGGATTTATACAATAAATTCAAATTAAAATCCGATACAGGTTTTTACTAATTAAAATAAATCTGGATTAAAAAAGTAAATCCAGTTCCAAACTCTAGTTGGTACTGTCTAATTTCATATGTTGATGTAAAATTATTGTAGATTTAGAATCTACTTAGAAAACCAATAAATTAAATTCGATACTGTAATAAATATGTAATCGATTGATGCAACGTTAGGGTTACACCTCAACTAGCTCTACATGGTAATAGAGCCACTTTTTTAAATACTTTATCTAGCTAATTGCTTCAAATTAAAAAAATATATATGCACTTTCATTAGATTTTTGTGCCAAAAGATGTAAATTTAGTTTATTATTTAAATATAGCCTGTAAAAAAAAATTCGAAATTAATTATATTTTGGTTTATTAGTTGAGGCGCAACCCTAATGCAATGAAGTTAAAGTAAATTATAATCTATTGTTATAATAAATTGTCAAACTATTAAGCAAATTTTTTTTATTACGTTTTCTCATTTTTATTCTTTACAATTCATTCACTCAGCATATTCAAATCATAAACATCACATGTTTTAAAACAGTGAAAATGTTTTTCTTGCTATTTCTAATAGTACTATAGTAGTATAGCCCTTTTTGCTCTGGCTATATCGACATCTCACTATAACAAACTTTTTTTAATTTTTTGAAGCTATATACTTATTATGAATATGCCTCTGGTTAAACCGATATTAGATTAATCTATTTGTTTTTGGTGAGTGTCAATATAACCAGAGTAATATATATAAAAGTCAAGTTATATTCAAAGCCTTTTTTTATATTTCTGAATGATAAGAATGTCTATCCATAAATTTTTCGTACATACTAACCAAAATTTTAATAGTACTGCTGAAATTACAAATTTATCTGTTTTGGAATTAAGGTGAAAAACCGATCGAATGAATATTTGGCCAATGTGTATGTTGTGTATCAAATTAAAATTGAAATTTGCATCAGGTCAAAGTTTAAATACAGAGTTTCATCAGGGTTAAGTTGAAAACTTATGTGAGATTATAGATATTTTTAATTTAATATAGATATATATTAGTTTGATGCATATTAATAAAGTCTTGGTTGTTTGAAATTAAAACTCGAGTTATGATCTTTTAAACTTCCAATTATATTTAAAAAAAATTAATTCTAAAACCTCCTATTGAAATAAGTAAAGAATTGTTAATTGACTTCTACATAATTTGATCATAGTAATAGTTTAATTTTAATCAATATTTTTAATTACAGTTATATCTAGTTATATCTTTTTCATTTAACAATTTTAACTACAATATATGTTAAAATCAGTTTTATCATGCGATAATATCCAATGTCAAAACATTTAGTCAGCATCACTACTAGGTATAAATAGCAAATCCCTAAAACTTTTAGCCAATAAAATTTCGGTTAAGAGTAAGAATCATCATGTGACTGCCGATTGTGACATGACTAACCTACCACATAGTTTACAAGCCTTAAATGAGCCAATGTGATGTAGGATAAACCTATTTGAGCAGGCTCATTGGAGAACACTAGTAAATAGGGTCAAATAATTGTAAACTTTGTTTAGTTTGATATTAATAATTGTTCTTTGATTTATTAATTAGTTGTATTTATTAAAAAAAAATTCATAACGATAATGTGCTGGCGATTATGCAGTAATTGTCATTTAAATAGTTGTACTATTGACTCAAATTAGAAATAATTTATTCTAAATTTTGTCTCAATTCCCAATTTATAAATTTTGGATAATTTAAGTTCCAAATTTCAAGCTATATAGTTTAAAATCTCACTCAAGATTACAAAGCAATAATGTGCTCATTGGTTAACTATCAGAATGCAGACCATGTAACATTATTATGATATTATCTATATAAACCAGTGATTAATCGAAGCTATTCTGGATTATTTTTTGTAAAAACGATCATTTATATTTTAGATATGTATGGCTGGCTCATCATTTTTGGAACTTTCAACGTGTTTGCCACCAGATAAAATCCGATTTTTGCAATCATTAATCAAATCATTATTTCCAAAATGTACTACAAAATATAATATACAATTAATTGATTTTTTAAATAAAAAACACAACTTATTGAATATACGTACAGTAATGAAAGTCTTTTTCATATCTGCGTACTAAAAAAACATATAAAAAAATTAGTTATATAAATAAAATTTAAAAAAAGATAGCCACTTATTGAACGTACAGCAATGTAAATGTCCCTTATCTAATGAGCGACAATTCTGTCTTTTTATTTTTTCAATTGAATCTTCTATTAATTCGTAAAACATTTTAGTAGCATCAGTTTTTGACACGTTGTCATCAACTCCATACATTAACAGGACAGGACGATGATGATTATTCTTTTTAAAATTTTTGATTAAAGAGCTATTCTCTTTCAAAAATTTACTTACATTTTGTATAGAATCTATGGCTATAGAAAAGATAATTTTATTTACTACTTATCATTATGATTTTTTAGTATTCTTTTATTAATATTTATCTTCAGTAAGCATAATGTACTTATTTATATAAGCATCTTCTTCATACACTTGAGAGAAAGAAAAGTTACTGGCAAGTTTTTCAGGCTTGTCATTGACATTTATTTTAAAATAAGGTAGCAACTTATTTATTAACTTTCCTACATGAAGAATCTGAGATACAGATACAATTTTAAGCAGAGGCAAGAGTGCAATGCATCTAGTAAGTGGTTGATCACATACTGCAGTGTAATAAAGAGCAAACGCACCTCCCTTAAAAAAAATAAAATAAAAAAAATCACATTTTCTATTATTTTCGATGAAATAATTATAAAATTAATCTAAAAAATATTTTACATACCATACCATGTCCCATCAAAAAATGAGGAATTCCTTCTTTTCAATTTTGCTTCTCTATAAATTTTGTTATATCTTTAATTGCATCTTTCCAATTCCCTCCAATTATAGGGTTTCCGACTTCTTTATATGTTCGACCATGTCCTCGTCGGTCAAATGCATTAACTTCAATTCCCGCCTCACTAAATTCAGTGAATATGTGATCGTAAAAATCTATGCGATCAGCAAAACCATGGAGGAAAGTTATGTATGCTTTTGGATCGTCTGTCTCTGCCTTCCATGTTTTGATATAAATACTAATATCATTTATTTTCATCCACGTTAGTTTTGCTTATTCACGGAAATACAACATAGAAAAAAAGAGTAAATAAATAAATCTTAAAATTTGTAAACAAATGTTGTAAATGGAAACAAAATTTAGGTGGATTCAGAATTTTTATATAAAACTCTCATTTAGGGTTGACCTATACCCTAAACCTAATTTAACTAGGGAATTTTGAATCCACTTATATTCTGTTTCCAATTACAATATAATCATCTAAATATTACTAAATAAATATTTTTTTTTACTATTTATTACACTTACTAATAGATATGATAATATGTATATTTTCGTCATCAAGCGAGAATTTGAAAATACTCTTAACAGTTTCTAAAACATTTTATAATTTTCTACATTTACATTTAAGCTCTTCTTTGGTTTTTTTTTAAATATTTCATTATTCGTTGTAACATTAACTTTCCATAAAGTGAGATCTTTGTTTTTAGAACAATTAATTTATTTAAGAATAGATTTTTTGAGTGTATAAACATAATCATTAATATTAACTTTGACAGTAAATGCTGGTGCAAAAGATTCTCCCAAAATAATACATTTGAGCTTAATTTCTTATTCGAAAAAAATACACAATTAATATGACATAAAGAATCTTTTTAACATTTGTAGACATCAATATCTTATTGAATAAAGTTTATGATTTACTTACTAATGAATACAATAATATATGTATGATTTTGCTTGAGAGGTAATTTGAAAATATTTTTAATAGTTTCGGTAATATCAGATAATTCTATACATTCACACCCAAGAATTTTAAGTTTTTCAATTGTTAAGGTTTTAAGCCGCCGCATAATTTTAGAGTTTTTCTATTGAGGTTTTGCATTGCTTAATTTTTTCATATTTTTCGATTAGAATTATTTTGCAATTTTCTGGAACAATAACTTTCCATAAAATTATATCTTCGATTTTAGGAGCAGATTCTTCGTGTAAACTATCATAAACTTTTTTTCTGAGTTCAGAAATCCTTTCGTCAATTTTAATCTCAATTTTGAAAGGAGAACTTTCTTTCTGAACAATACAATCAAATGGAATAGTGGTCATATAGCAAAAATTTTTTATTATAACGAAAACTTATCAAATAAAAATTAATGAAAAAGTTAATAATTGCCAACCAAAATACGGGAAACCTTCTTAAATACACCTTCAAATGCACACTTAAATTCTGATCCAAATATATATTTGACCTCCGTAAAGCACTTTCCTTATTTTTCTCTATATACACGTGTTAAAAGTTTGGTTCCTAGGCTCAGAAAATATAAAACGGTTACATGAAAAAACAATATGCAGAATTAAACAATATATGAAGGTTTGACTGTATTCCTAAATTACTAAATTACTAACATCAATAAAGTTACGTAGATGATTTGCACCGTATTAAGTAAAATGTATTATGGTTCGAGTTTATCGTTATGTGAGCTTTTTCCTTTAATTTGATTGACCAATTTTCACGTGTAGATCTACAAAACTTGACCAATCAAACCAGCTTATGTATGTAAAATCAGACTTTTACGCGTAATAGTAATTGTTTTACTTTTTATCAATTCTTTTTTTTTTGCACCTTTTTAACGTGCTTATACTTTTTATTCTTGTTTTGTTTTTGTTTATTTACTTTTATCCCTTCCCTTCTAAATATAAAGAGAAACACGAAGTTCGCGTGCACTCCGGAAACTTAATTGGAAAAATGGTGAAAAGGTTAGTATTTTTATATATTGTTTGGAGTGAGTAAGATAGTTAGGAA